GCCTTTGCTCTCGAGCAGTTTGTACAAGCGCCTCAGTCACATATACCAAACACCTTCACAACGTTCTTGCATACATTTGCAGGCATTACTGTCATCTGTTGCCGGTAGAGTTTAGTTGTGAGTGGCGTTATGTAGGCGCTGTGAAGGCGTGTTCTCCTTCTCTGTTGATTCATTACTGGCCCCCCTGGAAGGTCTATCTGGTGAGTGGTGTTAATCAGGTCAGCGCCCCTGGGAGGTGTTTATGGCGAGTGTGTCTGGCACAGTTTGTCTTGAGCTACTCCCTGTAAAGGTTTACCTCCTATCTTCCCTTTTAACGATATCTGTTATTTTCTTATATTATAAATCTCTTCTGGTCTTTGTGAAAAATGCACAGCTCCTTTTCTGTTGGAAAAACGAAAATATAAAAAATGGAAACCACATATATAATACAATCAACTCTCTCATTACAAATAAAACGCTGTATAAAATATTTGGGGATAGTCATTTCGGAAGACCTTACCCTTAAAGACAATTTAAGTAGCTGTCACAACTGCAAGAAAAATTACTAGTTGGATAACAAGAACCTTTCAGACAAGAGATGCCAGACCAGTGATGATGTTTTTCTAGACGATAGTTCTCTCTAGGATGGAATATTGTTGAACATTAACAGCCCCATTCAAATCTGGAGAAACTGCTGACCTGAAAAACGTGCAAAGGTCTTTTACTGCCAGAATCCATTCATTAAAATTATTGGGACAGCTAAAAAAAATTAAACCTGTGTTCTCTAATGCGCAGGCGAGAGAGAGAGAGAGAGAGAGAGAGAGAGAGAGAGAGAGAGAGAGAGAGAGAGAGAGAGAGAGAGAGAGAGAGAGAGAGAGAGAGAGAGAGAATTAGAATAATTTACATATAAAATATTAGAGGGACTGGGTCCAAATCTATACGCGGAAATAACTCCATGTGAGACCAGGAGGCCGGGCATGATGTCCAAAATGGACCCTTTGAAAAATATAGGCGCAATAGATTCGCTGAGAGACAATTCTATCACCCTTAAGGGCCCAAGACGGATAATTATACCTCCCTCTAAACATGAGGGGTATAATTATCCGGCCACTCACACAGTTCACAAGAGAAGTTGATCAACATTTCCAAAGGTTACTTATCAACTGGGCTATGATTCATACTTCAGGCTGCGAGTAGTTGCATCTAACAACCTGATTGATCGGACCTTCAACTAGGAGTCCTGGTCAGAGACTAGGCCGCAGGGACGTTGTTGAGCCTTGGAACCAAGGCAAGGTAAACGTAAGTTAAGTATTTGTTTTAAATATGATGCCCTATCATCCATAGTACATGAAAATCTCATCCTATTCCTACCTACATGTTGTTGGTTCCAGGGATCAATGTCTCCGTGGCCCGGTCTCTGACCAGGTCTCCTAGTTGGTCTGGTCTGGTCAACCAGGCTGACGTTCGAATCGCAATCGGGTGCCCCTTTCGCGGTGTTTATCAAGTTATCTTTTGAACTCCGTGAGGTCTTCTAATTCTACCCCCCTTATGTTTAGAGGGAGCATTGAACAGTCTTGGGCCCCTGGTGATGATAGTTCTCACTGTACTATTGCACTTCTTCTTTTCAACGGGGCAAATGACAACGTTCTGGTCCGTCCTGGGACCATTATCAAGTCGTGTGTGCAAATCTTGATTAGTTTTGCACATCTTACCATGCCTCCGAGTTTCTTGTGGAGTTGTGCAGTTATGGAACTTCCTAATCTTCCTTCATCTCCAGGTGAAGGAAGATTAGGAAGGTCCATATACCTGCTTGATGGGGTTCTGGGAGTTCTGGGGGATCCCTAGATTTGATAGTTCTCGTAATCCATCCTATCATTTTTCTGGCTGCCGCAATATTTGCTTGGTTATGCTCCCTAAACGTTAGGTCGTCAGACATCATTATTCCCAAATCCTTTACATGCTGTTTTCCTACCATGGGCAGATTTGATTGTGTTTTGTTGCACAACTCCACAAGAAATCCACACAAGCTGGGATTCCACCCCTCGATCTATCCCTTCCTCTCCCGTTAATCCATCTCTCCTTCCGTTGATCTATCCCCCGTCCTCCTTGGTTTCATATCCGTCTCATCAGTCTAACTTTGCTTCCTGTGCAGCCCTCCCTACCTCCATCTTCCTCCCAGCCTCCATCTACTTACCTGCCTCCATCTCCCTCCCAGCCTCCATCTACTTACCTGCCTCCATCTCCCTCCCTCCATCCCCGTGCCTCGTGTCCGGCAGTATGTCGCTCAGCTGGCTAAAAGTGAAACAGATCGCAGCTGACACCAGCCACTTCATAAAGCCTCTTGCTGTCTGCTGAGGTCATTTTATGAGCGGCATAATGTTTGGAGTTTATTGCCAGTGTTGGAGCAGACAGAGGCCACCAGCAGACATGCCCAGGGAGGGGGTGGGGGGAGGGCTTACCGGGTCTTAGAATGTTTAAGTTGTGATGGTTGTTGCTGTGGCTCGTCCTGCGCCGCCGCTCCTCATCCTGGACTAGTTGCTAGGTTGTGTCTGCGCCAGTGTTGGCGTGGGGGCAGGAGGGGGGGGGGGGGCTTGGGCAGAAGCAGGGCCGCGGAAGCACAATAACAACAGGTAAACTGGGAAAGGGTGGGGGGAGAGAGGGGAAAGCAGTCACTAGGGGTGGGAGGGGACCTGACCTTGAGGAGTAGGGATATAATTTGGAGACCGTAAAAATCCTTCAAATTTTAATTGCTAGAATGGGTAGTGAGAGTGAAATTTTCTTCTTGGAGATATTTGAGTACCTGGGCCAGGCCTCGGCAAGGTGGCCACGGAGACGGCCGTTGGGAATATATTTCCCTTCATGATTCTGTGTTGTGTCCGTGACACATTTTATCCTCTCCATTAGTTATACTATTCTCTGAATATTGTCTGGCACAGGGGGGCAGGGAGGGTCCTGGAGGCTTCTAAATTTACCACCACTTGTCTGTCGCTCGTCTAAAGGCTCAGTTGTGAATGTTTATGTGAATGTGGGTTTGGTAATGTGTGCGTGTGTGTGTGTGTGTACGTACGTGTATCTTATTCTTTTGTATCAAGGAAAGTTTTTTTGTTAGGATGGTCCATTATCTTGGTCTGATAATGGTGATAGTTGAGTGTACATCAATGTTGTGTAGCGTATCACAGCGTGGCTGAACACTTAGAGCCTGCAGGTGTGTGTGTGTGTTACTGCATTTTATTGCCGCCTGTCAAGCTGAGTGGTACTTCCTTAGGTATGATTGTTTAACATGACTCCCGCCTGATGTATGCCACAGCCTCCTCTACCCTAGTGTGGCCTTTGTGTCACTCTAGCCTCCACCGTGCTAGTGTGGCCCCTGTGTCACACTAGCCTCAACCACGCTAGTGTGGCCCCTGTGTCACACTACACTCCACCACGCTAGTGTGGCCCCTGTGTCACACTACACTCCACCACGCTAGTGTGGCCCCTGTGTCACACTACCCTCCACCACGCTAGTGTGGCCCCTGAGTCACTCAACCCTCCACCACGCTAGTGTGGCCCCTGTGTCACTCAACCCTCCACCACGCTAGTGTGGCCCCTGTGTCACACTAGCCTCCACCACGCTAGTGTGGCCCCTGTGTCACTCAACCCTCCACCACGCTAGTGTGGCCCCTGTGTCACACTAGCCTCCACCACGCTAGTGTGGCCCCTGTGTCACTCAACCCTCCACCACGCTAGTGTGGCCCCTGTGTCACACTAGCCTCCACCACGCTAGTGTGGCCCCTGTGTCACACTAGCCTCCACCGTGCTAGTGTGGCCCCTGTGTCACACTAGCCTCCACTGTGCTAGTGTGGCCCCTGTGTCACACTAGCCTCCACCACGCTAGTGTGGCCCCTGTGTCACACTAGCCTCCACCGTGCTAGTGTGGCCCCTGTGTCACACTAGCCTCCACCGTGCTAGTGTGGCCCCTGTGTCACACTAGCCTCCACTGTGCTAGTGTAGCCTCTGTGCCACACTAGCCTCCACGCTAGTGTGGCTCCCTGTGTTACTCTAGGGAGCCGGTCGGCCGAGCGGACAGCACGCTGGACTTGTGATCCTGTGGTCCCGGGTTCGATCCCGGACGCCGGCGAGAAACAATGGGCAGAGTTTCTTTCACCCTATGCCCCTGTTACCTAGCAGTAAAATAGGTACCTGGGTGTTAGTCAGCTGTCACGGGCTGCTTCCTGGGGGTGAAGGCCTGGTCGAGGACCGGGCCGCGGGGACACTAAAGCCCCGAAATCACCTCAAGATAATCCATTAAATGAAAGCTAAGGGAATTGGAGTAAGGTTGAGGAGGTAAATGAACGAGCTTCTAAGGAAGAGATTCCAGAGTGGCAGTAAATCCAGCAGTATACTGTCTCACACGGTGCTCTTGCCCACACCCTTGCTCTTGCCCACACCCTTCCCCACACCCTTGCTCTTGCCCACACCCTTGCCCACACCCTTGCTCTTGCCCACACCCTTGCCCACACCCTTCCCCACACCCTTGCTCTTGCCCACACGCTTGCTCTTGCCCACACGCTTGCTCTTGCCCACACCCTTGCTCTTGCCCACACGCTTGCTCTTGCCCACACCCTTGCTCTTGTCCACACGCTTGCTCTTGCCTACACCCTTGCCCACACCCTTGCTCTTGCCCACACCCTTGCTCTTGCCCTACACCCTTGCCCACACGCTTGCTCTTGCCCACATCCTTGCTCTTGCCCACACCCTCTTGCCCACACCCTTGCTCTTGCCCACACCCTTGCTCTTGCCCACATCCTTGCTCTTGCCCACATCCTTGCTCTTGCCCACACCCTTGCTCTTGCCCACATCCTTGCTCTTGCCCACACCCTTGCTCTTGCCCACATCCTTGCTCTTGCCCACACCCTTGCTCTTGCCCACACCCTTGCTCTTGCCCAAATCCTTGCTCTTGCCCAAATCCTTGCTCTTGCCCACATCCTTGCTCTTGCCCACACCCTTGCTCTTGCCCACATCCTTGCTCTTGCCCACACCCTTGTTCTTGCCCACATCCTTGCTCTTGCCCACATCCTTGCTCTTGTCCACATCCTTGCTCTTGTCCACATCCTTGCTCTTGCCCACACCCTTGTTCTTGCCCATATCCTTGCTCTTGCCCACCCTTGTTCTTGCCCACACCCTTGCTCTTGCCCACCCTTGTTCTTGCCCACACCCTTGCCCTTGCTCACACCCTTTCTCTTGCCCACATCCTTGCTCACACCCTTTCTCTTGCCCACACCCTTGCCCTTGTTCACACCCTTTCTCTTGCACACATCCTTGCCCATACCCTTGCTCTTGCCCACACCCTTCCTCTTGCCCACACCCGTCCTCTTGCCCACACCCGCCCTCTTGCCCACACCCTCTTGCCCACACCCTTCCTCTTGCCCACACCCTTCCTCTTGCCCACACCCTTCCTCTTGCCCAGACCCTTCCTCTTGCCCAGACCCTTCCTCTTGCCCACACCCTTCCTCTTGCCCACACCCGTCCTCTTGCCCATACCCTTCCTCTTGCCCACACCCTTGCTCTTGCCCACACCCGTCCTCTTGCCCACACCCGTCCTCTTGCCCACACCCTTCCTCTTGCCCACACCCTTCCTCTTGCCCACACCCTTGCTCTTGCCCACACCCTTGCTCTTGCCCACATCCTTGCTCTTGCCCACATCCTTGCTCTTGCCCACATCCTTGCTCTTGCCCACACCCTTGCTCTTGCCCACACCTTGCTCTTGCCCACATCCTTGCTCTTGCCCACATCCTTGCTCTTGCCCACACCCTTCCTCTTGCCCACACCCTTGCTCTTGCCCATATCCTTGCTCTTGCCCACACCCTTGCTCTTGCCCACATCCTTTCTCTTGCCCACACCCTTGCTCTTGCCCACACCCTTGCTCTTGCCTAAATCCTTGCTCTTGCCCACATCCTTGCTCTTGCCCACACCCTTGCTCTTGCCCACATCCTTGCTCTTGCCCACATCCTTGCTCTTGCCCACATCCTTGCTCTTGCCCACACCCTTGTTCTTGCCCACACCCTTGTTCTTGCCCACATCCTTGCTCTTGCCCACATCCTTGCTCTTGTCCACATCCTTGCTCTTGCCCACACCCTTGTTCTTGCCAACATCCTTGCTCTTGCCCACCCTTGTTCTTGCCCACACCCTTGCCCTTGCTCACACCCTTTCTCTTGCCCACATCCTTGCTCACACCCTTTCTCTTGCCCACACCCTTGCCCTTGTTCACACCCTTTCTCTTACCCACATCCTTGCCCATACCCTTGCTCTTGCCCACACCCTTTCTCTTGCCCACACCCATCCTCTTGCCCACACCCGTCCTCTTGCCCACACCCGTCCTCTTGCCCACACCCTTCCTCTTGCCCACACCCTCTTGCCCACACCCTTCCTCTTGCCCACACCCTCTTGCCCACACCCTTCCTCTTGCCCACACCCTTCCTCTTGCCCACACCCTTCCTCTTGCCCACACCCTTCCTCTTGCCCACACCCGTCCTCTTGCCCACACCCTTGCTCTTGCCCACACCCTTGCTCTTGCCCACACCCTTGCTCTTGCCCACACCCTTGCTCTTGCCCAAATCCTTGCTCTTGCCCACACCCTTGCTCTTGCCCAAATCCTTGCTCTTGCCCACATCCTTGCTCTTGCCCACACCCTTGCTCTTGCCCACATCCTTGCTCTTGCCCACACCCTTGTTCTTGCCCACATCCTTGCTCTTGCCCACATCCTTGCTCTTGTCCACATCCTTGCTCTTGCCCACACCCTTGTTCTTGCCCACACCCTTGTTCTTGCCCACATCCTTGCTCTTGCCCACCCTTGTTCTTGCCCACACCCTTGCTCTTGCCCACCCTTGTTCTTGCCCACACCCTTGCCCTTGCTCACACCCTTTCTCTTGCCCACATCCTTGCTCACACCCTTTCTCTTGCCCACACCCTTGCCCTTGTTCACACCCTTTCTCTTGCACACATCCTTGCCCATTCCCTTGCTCTTGCCCACACCCTTCCTCTTGCCCACACCCGTCCTCTTGCCCACACCCGTCCTCTTGCCCACACCCTTGCTCTTGCCCACACCCTCTTGCCCACACCCTTCCTCTTGCCCACACCCTTCCTCTTGCCCACACCCTTGCTCTTGCCCAGACCCTTCCTCTTGCCCACACCCTTCCTCTTGCCCACACCCGTCCTCTTGCCCATACCCTTCCTCTTGCCCACATCCTTGCTCTTGCCCACACCCTTGCTCTTGCCCACACCCGTCCTCTTGCCCACATCCTTGCTCTTGCCCACACCCTTCCTCTTGCCCACACCCTTGCTCTTGCCCACACCCTTGCTCTTGCCCAAATCCTTGCTCTTGCCCACATCCTTGCTCTTGCCCACATCCTTGCTCTTGCCCACACCCTTGCTCTTGCCCACACCCTTGCTCTTGCCCACATCCTTGCTCTTGCCCACATCCTTGCTCTTGCCCACACCCTTCCTCTTGCCCACACCCTTGCTCTTGCCCATATCCTTGCTCTTGCCCACACCCTTGCTCTTGCCCACATCCTTTCTCTTGCCCACACCCTTGCTGTTGCCCACACCCTTGCTCTTGCCTAAATCCTTGCTCTTGCCCACATCCTTGCTCTTGCCACACCCTTGCTCTTGCACACATCCTTGCTCTTGCCCACATCCTTGCTCTTGCCCACATCCTTGCTCTTGCCCACACCCTTGTTCTTGCCCACACCCTTGTTCTTGCCACATCCTTGCTCTTGCCCACATCCTTGCTCTTGTCCACATCCTTGCTCTTGCCCACACCCTTGTTCTTGCCAACATCCTTGCTCTTGCCCACCCTTGTTCTTGCCCACACCCTTGCCCTTGCTCACACCCTTTCTCTTGCCCACATCCTTGCTCACACCCTTTCTCTTGCCCACACCCTTGCCCTTGTTCACACCCTTTCTCTTACCCACATCCTTGCCCATACCCTTGCTCTTGCCCACACCCTTCCTCTTGCCCACACCCATCCTCTTGCCCACACCCGTCCTCTTGCCCACACCCTTCCTCTTGCCCACACCCGTCCTCTTGCCCACACCCGTCCTCTTGCCCACACCCTCTTGCCCACACCCTTCCTCTTGCCCACACCCTTCCTCTTGCCCACACCCTTGCTCTTGCCCACACCCTTCCTCTTGCCCACACCCTTGCTCTTGCCCACACCCTTGCTCTTGCCCACACCCTTGCTCTTGCCCACACCCTTGCTCTTGCCCAAATCCTTGCTCTTGCCCACACCCTTGCTCTTGCCCACATCCTTGCTCTTGCCCACACCCTTGCTCTTGCCCACACCCTTGCTCTTGCCCACACCCTTGCTCTTGCCCACACCCTTGCTCTTGCCCACATCCTTGCTCTTGTCCACATCCTTGCTCTTGTCCACATCCTTGCTCTTGCCCACACCCTTGTTCTTGCCCACACCCTTGTTCTTGCCCTCATCCTTGCTCTTGCCCACCCTTGTTCTTGCCCACACCCTTGTTCTTGCCCACACCCTTGCCCTTGCTCACACCCTTTCTCTTGCCCACATCCTTTCTCTTGCCCACACCCTTGCCCTTGTTCACACCCTTTCTCTTGCCCACATCCTTGCCCATACCCTTGCTCTTGCCCACACCCTTCCTCTTGCCCACACCCGTCCTCTTGCCCACACCCGTCCTCTTGCCCACCACCCTTGCTCTTGCCCACACCCTCTTGCCCACACCCTTCCTCTTGCCCACACCCTTCCTCTTGCCCACACCCTTCCTCTTGCCCACACCCTCTTGCCCACACCCTTCCTCTTGCCCACACCCTTCCTCTTGCCCACACCCTTGCTCTTGCCCACACCCTCTTGCCCACACCCTTCCTCTTGCCCACACCCTTCCTCTTGCCCACACCCTTCCTCTTGCCCACACCCTTGCTCTTGCCCACACCCTTCCTCTTGCCCACACCCTTGCTCTTGCCCACACCCTTGCTCTTGCCCACACCCTTGCTCTTGCCCACACCCTTGCTCTTGCCCACATCCTTGCTCTTGCCCACACCCTTGCTCTTGCCCAAATCCTTGCTCTTGCCCACATCCTTGCTCTTGCCCACACCCTGCTCTTGCCCACATCCTTGCTCTTGCCCACACCCTTGTTCTTGCCCACATCCTTGCTCTTGTCCACATCCATGCTCTTGTCCACATCCTTGCTCTTGCCCACACCCTTGTCTTGCCCACACCCTTGTTCTTGCCCTCATCCTTGCTCTTGCCCACCCTTGTTCTTGCCCACACCCTTGTTCTTGCCCACACCCTTGCCCTTGCTCACACCCTTTCTCTTGCCCACATCCTTTCTCTTGCCCACACCCTTGCCCTTGTTCACACCCTTTCTCTTGCCCACATCCTTGCCCATACCCTTGCTCTTGCCCACACCCTTCCTCTTGCCCACACCCGTCCTCTTGCCCACACCCGTCCTCTTGCCCACACCCTTGCTCTTGCCCACACCCTCTTGCCCACACCCTTCCTCTTGCCCACACCCTTCCTCTTGCCCACACCCTTGCTCTTGCCCAGACCCTTCCTCTTGCCCACACCCTTCCTCTTGCCCACACCCGTCCTCTTGCCCACACCCGTCCTCTTGCCCACACCCTTGCTCTTGCCCACACCCTTGATCTTGCCCACACCCGTCCTCTTGCCCACATCCTTGCTCTTGCGCACACCCTTCCTCTTGCCCACACCCTTGCTCTTGCCCACACCCTTGCTCTTGCCCAAATCCTTGCTCTTGCCCACATCCTTGCTCTTGCCCACATCCTTGCTCTTGCCCACATCCTTGCTCTTGCCCACACCCTTGCTCTTGCCCACATCCTTGCTCTTGCCCACATCCTTGCTCTTGCCCACACCCTTCCTCTTGCCCACACCTTTGCTCTTGCCCATATCCTTGCTCTTGCCCACACCCTTGCTCTTGCCCACATCCTTTCTCTTGCCCACACCCTTGCTCTTGCCCACACCCTTGCTCTTGCCTAAATCCTTGCTCTTGCCCACATCCTTGCTCTTGCCCACACCCTTGCTCTTGCCCACATCCTTGCTCTTGCCCACATCCTTGCTCTTGCCCACACCCTTGCTCTTGCCCACAACCTTGCTCTTGCCCACATCCTTCCTCTTGCCCACATCCTTGCTCTTGTCCACATCCTTGCTCTTGCCCACACCCTTGTTCTTGCCAACATCCTTGCTCTTGCCCACCCTTGTTCTTGCCCACACCCTTGCCCTTGCTCACACCCTTTCTCTTGCCCACATCCTTGCTCACACCCTTTCTCTTGCCCACACCCTTGCCCTTGTTCACACCCTTTCTCTTACCCACATCCTTGCCCATACCCTTGCTCTTGCCCACACCCTTCCTCTTGCCCACACCCATCCTCTTGCCCACACCCGTCCTCTTGCCCACACCCGTCCTCTTGCCCACACCCGTCCTCTTGCCCACACCCTTCCTCTTGCCCACACCCTTCCTCTTGCCCACACCCTTGCTCTTGCCCACACCCTTGCTCTTGCCCACACCCTTCCTCTTGCCCACACCCTTCCTCTTGCCCACACCCTTCCTCTTGCCCACACCCGTCCTCTTGCCCACACCCTTGCTCTTGCCCACACCCTTCCTCTTGCCCACACCCGTCCTCTTGCCCACACCCTTGCTCTTGCCCACACCCTTCCTCTTGCCCACACCCGTCCTCTTGGCCACACCCTTGCTCTTGCCCACACCCTTGCTCTTGCCCACACCCTTCCTCTTTCCCACACCATTGCCCACACCCTTGCAAAATGTAAAGCAACATGTAAAGGATTTGGGAATAATGATGTGTGACGACCTAACGTTAGATCAATACGACCTAACACTCGTACAGTGTTGAGTGGTTAACAACAGGAATTCGCTGCAAGAAGTTGAGGACGTGACGTCCATCTACAGCTTTACAAGCAGAGACGCGGAAGAACTCGGAAATCTGGGATGTCCACAAGTAAGGAACCGCGGCCTCATTAGACCACACTCCCCCACGTTCATTGTTGGACACGTCCTGATTGGTAAGCTCTATCAGTACCACCAACCACCACCATTACCACCACCAGCCCCAACAACCACCACCAGCCCCAACAACCACCACCAGCCCCAACAACCACCACCATTTCCACCACCAGCCCCAACAACCACCACCAATATCACCACCAGCCCCAACAACCACCACCAATATCACCACCAGCCCCAACAACCACCACCATTACCACCACCACCAATATCACCACCAGCCCCAACAACCACCACCAATATCACCACCAGCCCCCAACAACCAGCCCCCCACAACCACCACTGCTACAATGGACGAGGCCAAGAGCCAGTGGTTCTGTAACTAGCTCCTCCATTATAGTGTGGCTCAGCTCGTGCGTGATTTATAAAATTCACTAAATCCGCTATATAAAAACAGGCCACAGCAATGGAGTGGTTGGGATGGGATTACCTGCCAGCCGCACCCTTTGTTGGTGTTGCTGGAGAGTCTGGCACGGGGAATGTTGATGGATTGGCAGGTTAACCTGTTTCCCTTCACACAGCGGGACCAAAGAGCCAGAGCTCAACCCCCGCAAACACAACTAGGTGAGTACAGGCTCCAGCTATCACACACCAAACGCATTCCCCCCCCCCCCCCTTACATCAGGACGGAATTATCAGGGTAATGGCTAATTGTATGGTCATTACGACTATATAGCACTTGGAAGGGATAAGGATTTGGGATGGGATGGGGGAGAGGGGGGAAGAATGTTGCCCAATTACTTGGATGGTCGGGGATTGAGCACCGACCAGCATGAAGCGAGACCGTCGCTCTACCATCCACTCAAAAGTGGTTGTTCACATCGGGAGGATAGATCACAAAGTCAACTCTTTCCTCTAAAGAGAATCGAGGGTGCGTGTACAGATTGAAATTGAAATAGAAATAAGTTTATTGAGGTAAAATACACACAAAGGGATGAGGTAGCTCGAGCTATTCTCACCCCGTTCAGTACATCGTGTTAATACATACATAGACACACATCACAAGCAATAAACACATTACCAAACATTCTGAGAGATAAACATATACATTCCATTACACAAGTAATGTACCGATTGTCTCCTTCACATATCATGAGAACCAGTGAGGAGGCCAGTCAGCCCGCTTGGTGTACTACCGAGGAGCACATAGTCTTGCCTACTACCCAGGAGTACATAGTCTCGGCCTTACCTGACCTGCTTCAATTAAATCCCTCTTGTACCGAGGGCGTGGGTCGCTGGCGTTTGGCTAGGTGGGTTTTTGTATTGTGAAGTGTCTTGATAAATGAAGATCGGTGTGTTGGTTATTTAAACTTCTTGGTAAGCGTATTTGAATTTTAAGATGCTATCGGAGACCAGATTTTGTGGGCGTACGTGCGTGAACAAGTGGGTGGCAGGTTAAACTGCGGCAAGTGAAGCAGTCATGAGAACTCTCTCCTGTTTTACTGGTATTTTCAATATGTCTTAATACTGAGCATTGTAAACAGTGTTTTGGTATCCAAGTAGATGGGTTAGGCTTATGGTTTCCATGTCTGCCGTGTTGAGTGTGTGGAGTATGATGATAGTTCCTCATTGTGTGCCGTGTTGAGTGTGCGTGCAGTATGATGACAGTTCCTCTTCTCATTGACTGGTATTACCTGATCAGGTTAAGAGGGAAGGGTGTGTGTAGACATCATTGTAGCCCCCAATCAGCCCCCCCCCCCCCACAACTCACAAGTCTCTTCAACTTAGTGTTTCATTATACTGTGTTTCGCTACTTTATGTTCTAGTCAACCAACCTTCTCGTGTACCTGTAATTTGCAACACATAACACCTGTAACTTTACATGGAGACACTCACGGTGCTGCAAGAAAGTATACAGAGATTACCCCTGCTGGTCAAACCCCTGCTGGCCAAACCCCTGCAGGCCAAACCCCTGCTGGCCAAACCCCTGCTGGCCAAACCCCTGCTGGCCAAACCCCTGCTGGCCAAACCCCAGCTGGCCAAACCCCTGCAGGCCAAACCCCTGCTGGCCAAACCCCTGCTGGCCAAACCCCTGCTGGTCAAACCCCTGCTGGCCAAACCCCTGCTGGCCAAACCCCTGCTGGCCAAACCCCTGCTGGCCAAACCCCTGCTGGTCAAACCCCTGCTGGCCAAACCCCTGCTGGCCAAACCCCTGCTGGCCAAACCCCTGCTGGTCAAACCCCTGCTGGTCAAAACCCCTGCTGGTCAAACCCCTGCTGGTCAAACCCCTGCTGGTCAAACCCCTGCTGGTCAAACCCCTGCTGGTCAAACCCCTGCTGGCCAAACCCCTGCTGGCCAAACCCCTGCTGGTCAAAACCCCTGCTGGTCAAACCCCTGCTGGTCAAACCCCTGCTGGTCAAACCCCTGCTGGTCAAACCCCTGCTGGTCAAACCCCTGCTGGTCAAACCCCTGCTGGTCAAAACCCCTGCTGGTCAAACCCCTGCTGGTCAAACCCCTGCTGGTCAAACCCCTGCTGGTCAAACCCCTGCTGGTCAAACCCCTGCTGGTCAAACCCCTGCTGGTCAAACCCCTGCTAGTCAAACCCCTGCTGGTCAAACCCCTGCTGGTCAAACCCCTGCTGGTCAAACCCCTGCTAGTCAAACCCCTGCTAGTCAAACCCCTGCTAGTCAAACCCCTGCTGGTCAAACCCCTGCTGGTCAAACCCCTGCTGGTCAAACCCCTGCTGGTCAAACCCCTGCTGGTCAAACCCCTGCTGATCGTGGGTTAGTAACAAATGTCCTCATTGTGGGAGTATAATCTGAAAAAAATGTAAATATATACAAAATATGTAAGTAAAGATTTAAAGTAAACTTTTAAAATGTGTTGTGGTGGTTTGTTTGGAGTTAAGTAGCGCGTTCAATTTTGATCAATGTAAACCAAGCAGTTTATATTATTTTTTTCACATAGTGTATTCAATATATTCGCCGTTATGATTGACACACTATAGTTCTACCTAGTTGGCAGTCACATGGCGAATGGTGATGGACACACACACACACACACACACACACACACACACACACACACACACACACACACAGTGGTAGACGGTTGGAACAAGTTAAGTGAGAAGGTGGTGGAGGCCAAGATCGTCAGTAGTTTCAAAGCGTTATATGACAAAGAGTGCTGGGAAGACGGGACACCACGAGCGTAGCTCTCATCCTGTAACTACACTTAGGTAATTACACTTAGGTAATTACACACACACACACACACACACACACACACACACACACACACACACACACGTCTTAGAGTATGCCGCCTCATCATGGAGTCCCCATCTGAAGAAGCATATAATGAAACTGGAAAAGGTTCAGAGGTTTGCAACGAGACTCGTCCCAGAGCTACGAGGGATGGGGTATGAAGAGCGCCTGAGGGAACTGTGCCTTACGACACTAGAAAGAAGAAGGGAGAGGGGGGACATGATAGGAACGTATAAGATACTCAGAGGAATTGACAGAGTGGACATAGACGAAATGTTCACACGGAATAGTAACAGAACGAGAGGACATGGATGGAAGCTTGAAACTCAGATGAGTCACAGAGATGTAAGGAAGTTTTCTTTTAGCGTGAGAGTAGTGGGAAATGGAATGCACTTCAGGAACAGGTTGTGGAAGCAAATACTATTCATAATTTTAAAACCAGGTATGATAGGGAAATGGGACAGGAGTCATTGCTGTAAACAACCGATGCTCGAAAGGCGGGATCCAAGAGTCAATGCTCGATCCTGCAAGCACATATAGGTGAGTACATATAGGTGAGTACACACACACACTAATAATAATAATAATAATAATAAGAAGAAGAAGAAGTCAGTGGGTCGGGGGACAGGGAGGCAGTGTGTATATATAGAGGTTAGGCTTATACAGAGGTTCCTCCAAGGTGGGACTACTCCCTTCTCCCCCCCCCCCTTTTCCCATCTCAGGATGCGACCTGACATCAAAGCTTTTCGTGTCCTTTAATCTCATTTTATTCCCAGTGATCAGATGGTGTGATGTATGGGGGCGAGGAATGGTGTCCCCATAATGTATGGGGGCGAGGGATGGTGTCCCCATAATGTATGGGGGCGAGGGATGGTGTCCCCATAATGTATGGGGGCGAGGGATGGTGTCCCCATAATGTATGGGGGCGAGGGATGGTGTCCCCATAATGTATGGGGGCGAGGGATGGTGTCCCCATAATGTATGAGGGCGAGGGATGGTGTCCCCATAATGTATGAGGGCGAGGGATGGCGTCCCCATAATGTATGGGGGCGAGGGATGGCGTCCCCATAATGTATGGGGGCGAGGGATGGCGTCCCCATAATGTATGGGGGCGAGGGATGGCGTCCCCATAATGTATGGGGGCGAGGGATGGTGTCCCCATAATGTATGGGGGCGAGGGATGGTGTCCCCATAATGTATGGGGGCGAGGGATGGTGTCCCCATAATGTATGGGGGCGAGGGATGGTGTCCCCATAATGTATGGGGGCGAGGGATGGTGTCCCCATATTGTATGGGGGCGAGGGATGGTGTCCCCATAATGTATGGGGGCGAGGGATGGTGTCCCCATAATGTATGGGGGCGAGGGATGGTGTCCCCATAATGTATGGGGGCGAGGGATGGCGTCCCCATAATGTATGGGGGCGAGGGATGGTGTCCCCATAATGTATGGGGGCGAGGGATGGCGTCCCCATAATGGATGGGGGCGAGGGATGGTGTCCCCATAATGGATGGGGGCGAGGGATGGCGTCCCCATAATGTATGGGGGCGAGGGATGGCGTCCCCATAATGTATGGGGGCGAGGGATGGCGTCCCCATAATGGATGGGGGCGAGGGATGGCGTCCCCATAATGTATGGGGGCGAGGGATGGCGTTCCCATAATGTATGGGGGCGAGGGATGGTGTCCCCATAATGTATGAGGGCGAGGGATGGCGTCCCCATAATGTATGGGGGCGAGGGATGGCGTCCCCATAATCTCCGAGGGACACACTGGGCGTCAACAGCAGGGTGACGCTGGCTTTGGGTTTTATATTGTTAATGACGAAGTACTGGGCGGAGACGCTTGAGGAAATCATTCAAATTTAATGTTTATGATGTATTATTAGTTAATGTTTGGGGCAGAGGTGACGTGGTGGGCGTGGTGATGGGTGGTGGTGGTGGGCGTGGTGATGGGTGGTGGTGGTGGGCGTGGTGATGGGTGGTGGTGGTGGGCGTGGTGATGGGTGGTGGTGGTGGGCGTGGTGAGGGGGTGGTGGTGGTGGGCGTGGTGAGGGGGTGGTGGTGGTGGGCGTGGTGAGGGGGGTGGTGGTGGGCGTGGTGAGGGGGTGGTGGTGGGCGTGGTGAGGGAGGGGGGGTGGTGGTGGGCGTGGTGAGGGGTGGTGGTGGGCGTGGTGAGGAGGGGGTGTGGTGGTGGGCGTGGTGAGGGAGGGGGGGGTGGTGGTGGGCGTGGTGAGGGGGTGGTGGTGGGCGTGGTGAGGTGGGGGGTGGTGGGCGTGGTGAGGTGGGGGGTAGTGGTGGGTGTGGTGAGGGGGGTGGTGGTGGGCATGGTGAGGGAGGGGGGTGGTTGTGGGCGTGGTGACGGAGGGGGGGGGGTGGTGGGCGTTTTGAGGGGGGGGTAGTGGTGGGCGTGGTGAGGGAGGGGGGTGGTTGTGGGCGTGGTGACGGAGGGGGGGTGGTGGTGGGCGTGGTGAGGGGGGGGGTGGTGGTGGGCGTGGTGAGGGGGTGGTGGTGGTGGGCGTGGTGAGGGGGGGTGGTGGTGGGCGTTGTGAGGGGGGGGTAGTGGTGGGCGTGGTGAGGGGGTGGTGGTGGTGGGCGTGGTGAGGGAGGGGGGGTGGTGGTGGGCGTGGTGAGGGGGTGGTGGTGGTGGGCGTGGTGAGGGGGTGGTGGTGGTGGGCGTGGTGAGGGGGGGGGGTAGTGGTGGGCGTGCTTGGACTGGTGGCCGGCCGTGTGTGTGTGTGGTGTTGGGTGTTTTAAGAGAGAAACAGACAAAGGCAGACCTGACAAATGGCTGTGGGAGTATTACGTAAGATTAACATAGGTGAGTTTTGTAAAGGCAAAACATTTGACACATTTAAATATCAAATTTCAGAGAGAGAGGCGCGCGGACATTTAAATCAGGGCGTCACAGGGAAAACTTTGCCAAACACATCATTCACTATTTAAATAGGTTCTTAACCGAAGGAGTTGAGTATACACTGGGTGGTATTTATGAGCGCCTCGGACTTGACAGAATAATGTTTGTGGTGGACGGCTCTCTTGCCTGATTGCAATATTGCAGCATTTTACACGTGTCTTCAAAAAGATGGTGTGGGAGTATGCAAAGTAGGTTATGCAACACTGCTCGGGTAACCTAGCTTGTTGATATATAGAGTTTACCTGTGGTCTGTTCGAGAGTGGGTATTCCATCCAGGCTTGGCTTCCCTGATCTGGGACAGCTTGTAGGAGTCTGTAACTGATCAAACTTGGCTTGTAGGAGTCTGTGGGTGCTCTAGTACACCTTGTAGGAGCCTGTGGGTGCTCTAGCACAGCTTGTAGCAGCCTGTGGGTGCTCTAGCACAGCTTGTAGCAGCCTGTGGGTGCTCTAGCACAGCTTGTAGCAGCCTGTGGGTGCTCTAGCACAGCTTGTAGCAGCCTGTGGGTGCTCTAGCACAGCTTGTAGCAGCCTGTGGGTGCTCTAGCACAGCTTGTAGCAGCCTGTGGCTGCTCTAACACAGCCTGTAGGAGCCTGTAGCTGCTCTAACACAGCCTGTAACAGCCTTTACTGACCCTTTTGGAAAACATCAAATTGATCTTCATGAAAATGTCGTATATTTGCTGGTTGTGGAGTTTAGTGTGATATTAGTGCACGTGTTCTCTAACTGTGGCTGTATTGACAGAACGATGCACTCCTCAAGGTGAGCGTGATGCAGGCTGGCGCAGGAATCTGCTCAGGATGTACGACTCGAGTTCATATTCATGGGTTACAATTATATTTTGTAAGCGCCATGTCCCTTGTAATTCATGGGCTATGTAAATTACAATAAAATCATGTTTTATTTAGTCTCTCATTATTCAAATTTTATGCATGTGTTCGCGATATATGTTCACCCACTCAAGTTGTAACTTGTGTGTTTTTAACTTGGACTTATTATGTAAATGAAACTTTTTTTGGGGTGTAAGTTATTAAATTTTCCTCTTTAAATTGTTTGTATTTTTTTATGCGGATATAGTTAGTCAATTTGTGCCAAAGTGTAATTGTTTACTGCTGTGCATCTCTCAGAATTGTAACGATGAATTTGTCAGGAACTTAGCCTCACATTCCTTGTGGTTCATCGGGTCTTGTTTACAATCAATGTCTTTCAGGCTATTTTAGTGGCGCGGGTGTTGGGGTCTTTTAACCTTCCAGGTGGTGCAGGTGTTGGGGTCTTTTAGCCCTCCAGGTGGTGCAGGTGTTGGGGTCTTTTAACCTTCCAGGTGGTGCAAGTGTTGTGGTCTTTTAACCCTCCAGGTGGTGCAGGTGTTGGGGTCTTTTAACCCTCCAGGTGGTGCAGGTGTTGGGGTCTTTTAACCTCCAGGTGGTGCAGGAGTTGGGGTCTTTTAGCCCTCCAGGTGGTGCAGGTGTTGGGGTCTTTTAGCCCTCCAGGTGGTGCAGGTGTTGGGGTCATTTACCTTCCAGGTGGTGCAGGTGTTGGGGTCTTTTAACCCTCCAGGTGGTGCAGGTGTTGGGGTCTTTTAACCCTCCAGGTGGTGCAGGTGTTGGGGTCT